TTTGCCGAATCCGACTGTGTTTCGCCATATCTGCAGGCGAAACGCAGAGTGCAAAATTTAAGAACTGCATGACCGCGTATGACTATACTCCCATTCGTAAATCACACAAAATATTTGATAAACTCGTGATCATTAAGTATTTCTATGGGAAGAAAATAAACCGTCATGAATAATTTCTTTACATCATTTTTGAAACTTGTCGATTTTTTACGTTGCAACTTGTCTCAACATTAAATTTCATTCAACACGTTTTGTAACGTGAGATAACACTTATGAACGAAGCTGTACAATGCGTGTTGCGAGCGCGAACATCTGGATCGACTCGATCATGGTTATTACTGAAAGTTGAGTTCGAGCCGGACGAGTACGATTTGATTCGGTTTAATCGGACGTGCCTTTCGAAAGAACGAGGAAATGAAGAGAAGAAATTATGGAAGTTCCTACGATGACATCTAATTAAATTTTAGCGTTACGCTCCGATATCCGACCGCCTCCTATTTCCATCCCCAATTTTCTATTCCCGTGAAATATCAGACGACGCGATGCGAAGTTAAAGCCAAAGGAATTAAGTGAACTCTCACTTAGTAGCTGAATGTATACGTGTAACGCGTTACTTCAATTACAACATTCCGACTTTCTGCCGGCGCTGGGAGAATTCTCTGTGAAATTGCCGTTCCCGTATTCATATCCATACACGACCAAATTCTATGAACGTATAAGAGGGAAACTTAATTCACGTAACGACATAATACACGACGAATTAACCCATGCTCTTTGGTTAGAGTCAAAGGATTAACGCGTTGTACACGAGAGTGATCGTTGTCGGTGATAGTCTGAGATTTCACAGATCGTTCCGGGCTGGACGAAATTTGATTCGATCGGAAATTTGCAAAAAAGTAGGAAAGGAGTTGGTAACTAAGCGGACACGGTCGGGAAACGATCGAGGGCGAATAGAACTCTTAGTATCCTATTGGAGGTTTCGCCTCTCGAACATCAATATCGGACAAGATCAAAACTTAAGGCAATTGCGCACTGATACAACAAAGGGCATCGTCTAACGCGGTTATACCTCGTAAGCGAAATTCTATTGCTATATCCCATCTCGAGCGTCTATATTGGCCCCTCTCTGAGAACACAACCGTTCTCTCATCCCGCTCTTCTCGTCATCTCTCCCTTCGTTTTGCTCAGCTGCTTCCTTCCTGTCCCTCTCTCTTCCGATCTTATTTCTACTCCCTGCTCCTCTCCCCTCGCTATCTTTACCATTCTCTTTCCGCTTCTCTCTATCAATACCGACCTAATCTACTTTGCCAGCAAATAGTGTTCACGTTCCCCAGACAATGGTTTTCTCTTAGCTGGATACACCCCTTCGTCGAATCGTCTCGCCACCTCGTCGAATATCCTTCCAGCGCAACCTCTACTTCTGTTCCCATAATTTATTTACACCAACGATTATCTGAGACGGTCTTCCAGTTTTAACCTTTACGCTGCCACGCAAGATCTGACGTGGATAATTTTTCAGTAAAATCGGTGGTCGAATCAAATTTCACCTAGGTGAATCGTGTTCGGTTTTAAGACACTGGCGAGAAAATTGGCTTCGTGGAGACCACTTCATCGACGCGAATTCTCTGCCTAATTGATTCCCACGGGTGCAGTGGAGGGATTGGATCCGTGAAACCGGCAATCTCGACGAGTGTTGGTTAAAATTAAACCGCTAGAGCGAATCGAGCATTGATTATTACGAGGTCAAGTATCAAGCTTCCTTTGAAAGCCACATTATCCTCGGGGTTGGACAATCAAGCCCCTCAGACAATGGTGGATCCTCGTTTTCCACCCTAACTATATTCGAACCCTGTTTCCTTCCTTATTCGAGGCGTTCACGCGAATTTCTCGCTACCTCGTCTTCCTGTTTATGATTGATAATACAACTTCCCATCTAATATCGCCTGGTTCAGAAAAAAGTTCCCGAAAATCTTGTCAAAGGCGAACGTGTCGCAGCTTAAGGTTGTATTATTCGTAAAATCTCTGCCAAAAATTTAAGACATGTAATAAAAAGCTGTGTACAATATTTGAAGCAATGAATTTTGAGAAAAAATTATAATATCCTCAAAATTGATATTATATCAACTTTAAAATATTCTTAAATCATGTATTATGAATTATACAAAATTATAAAATGCTGTCATTGTTACATTCATATTCTTTCATAAACGAAGTCACAAACTTCTGTCATTCGACATGAAAAGTCAAGATGTAAGAACTTTTTTAATAGGCTCGCTAAATTTCTAAAATTCTGTACAGTGTTTTATTAATGTAATACCTAATATCTGTTAAAATTTCAATACTTTGTCATTATTTTTATATGAGTTCATACAACCTTAGTATGAATAAAACTTTCACACGCTGTCTGTCAGCATTATTTAAGGCATTTCACCGAATTATCCTCATTTATTAATCACCAACGAACGAATACGTATTGTTCAACTAAATTCAATTGTCACAGGATACGGTGCCCCAAATTTTCTCCAATGAATGCATCTTCATACATTATAGATCAGTTGTTAAGTAATGACACGACGCGATATCAATCTACGATTGTATACTATTTATATGAAATAAATTATTGAATATCTACAACGGTTACGGAAGCGTCTAATGGACGTTTGACAATGTTTAATTATGTTGGAAGGCCGCTGGTCGACTTTCGATAGGAGTTTACGTACGTGGTGAAAGTTATTTAAATACGATAAATATTTTATCGTAACATGTGAAATTTTTGTGTTCAGATATTTATGCACGTTCGGACGAGTCCATCGACACCAAGACTGAGTACTACTCTTTACCCCAGCCAAAAGTAAATAAAAACCGTCGTTTTCAATTTATATCCGCCGTACGGAAAATTATCAGAAAACC